ATATGATAGAAGGAAAAAAAGGAAAAGTATATTAAAATGATAAAATGAAAGTGTATAAGAACAATATTTGCCAAAGTTTTACATTTATCAAAGAATCATGTACAAGAGATAAATATTTTTATTTTGATTACTTATCTAAAATGTTAAAACAGGTATTCGCGATTTTTATAGAAATTTTCGATAAGACATAATACAATGTAATACAATATATCATAAAGTTTTATTATAAATTTCAGGAATTCTAATCGACAAAAAATCTTAAAACAATTGAAACCATCGAAATAATTAATGGAAATTGATAAATTTGAATCTTTCTTTTGTATTTGAATATAAATTTTTAATTTCTAAAATCTATTCAACTCAAATGATTTTAATAAGAACATCAGATATAAACTAAAATCGCAATAACCAGCATGCTAGTTAAAATTGGATCAGAGATTAACCTTAATATCAAAAGCTTACATCAAGAAACCTTAGAATGTTCTTTTGTTTGAGATAGAAAACTGATCATTGTTACAAAAATGAAGAAATTTGCCTCATTTTTGTTCTATGGATATCTGTCTTCTTTTTTCCTTATTTTTTACACAATATAAAAAATCGCAGATAAAATTTTTTAATTGAACATTGAGCTTATAATAAAAATATAAATAATTTTCAATAAAAAACTAGATTCATAAAAATTTTTTTATTCAACAGACTAGATTTTTTTTTATGCACATGTAACGAAATGCATACATGAAACTGCTCGATGAATATCTTCAATAAAGAGAACAATTTCAGCTACAGAGTCGATGCACGCTCGACAAGGATTGAATATTATCATGATAAGTAGAGTTATATGTTATCGTTCTTTCATTAAGGAAATATCCCAAGTGTTATTCATGTGTTTGAAAAGAATATAGCAAAAATATCAAAATGAATAACAAAATAATATAATATAACTTAATGATAAAAATAAAATAATATAACTTATTAAAAAAAAAATGATATATGACTTATTAAAAAAATGCTATTTTAATTATTATTTTTAGCTTTCTTTAATTTTATCAATATGAAATTATTTACATTAATATATTATATAATATTCATTGTTAATATATGTATAATGCACGTAATGTAGACGTAGCTTAATTGATAGTGATAGATAATATATAACTTATAACTGATAAATATGATAATAATAATAATAATGTAAATATAATTTGATATTTAATAAAATATAAAAGGCAAATTTATCTTTTAAAAATCTAATTTTTAAAAATGAAACGATATTATTAAACATGTAATGATATAATGAATTTTATATTATATAATGAAGATTTATTATCTTGAGAAAAATTTTGATAAAATGGAAACATTAAATAATTTTGTTCAACTGTACCATTTACGATGTCATTCTTATCCAAATGAATATATCCAGACAGACCATAAAAGCTAAAAAAACGTGGACAAATTTCATTTAATTCTAACAGTCTCATCTTATATTTGATTAGTTTTTCATGACAGATACTATCATCTATGTCATGGTTTAAAAAGATAGAAAAATTGTATTATTATCTTTAAAGAATAGTTAATTAAAGAATAATTCTTCCCTATTATTTCAAATATTAAATATTTGCCTTTTGGCTACAATAAGAATATTTTTAAAATTTTTATCACTGTAGTCTTTGATTTATTTTTTAAAAAAATAAAGATATTTAGCTATTGTAAAAAAAGAGTTGCAACTCGTAAAACAATTGGGAAACATTGTTTTATACACAATAGTATACACAATAAATCTTGTCGACTTGCTCCTTTGCTGTTTTTTTCTGCACTCTATCGCGCCATGAAAAACGCGTGCATGAAAGAATCTCGAGCAGCCTCTTGTCCCTCGTGCTTTTCCAATTTTTTCTTCCCGTTTAAGAAAAGCTCGTTAAAAAGCGATGAGAGATAATTCCAACTTTTGCAAACTGTTTTTCAAAATAAAAGAAACATCCATTTCACATCTTTTTTTCAGTTACAAGAATAGAAGAAAAAATCTTTCATTTAAAGAATATTTGTTTCAAAAATGAGAGATTCGAGTGAAATTTAGAAATTTAAGTGATATCACAGGAAATTAAAATTTTTTCTGTGTGGTATAAAAAAAAAATTGGAAAATAATTATATAACTATAAGTATATGATAGCGAAACTTGATATTTTTCATTATATTTTTCTTATCTTACGATATAACAATTGAAAAAAAATACTCTTAAAAAATATTATTTATCCTCATTTGATGGCTGTTGATAAATAATGGATCAAGAATATTGCAACAATAGACGATAATTCGTCAAGATTAAGATATATATCTAATAATAAATATAAGAATTAAATTTGTACGACCATTATTCTTGTTAATTTATCATTCTCAATATTTATTTATTTTATAACAAAGATTAAAAATATTTTCTCGAATATTTCAAAAGCGAATATTTATATAAAAGTACGTATAAGATTTCGATGTGTAAATATTTCAGGAATTTAAAATCTCTAAGAATGATATATCAATCTTTCGCCGTTTCATTTGCATCAAAAGCCAATGGACGTTAAAAGATTTATACAAGAATCGCTTAAGCGAAAATCGATAGATCGAATAAAAAGGAATTTCTTGAAGAGGATATTTTTAGATCGATAGATGCCACAACCTTGGATATATAAAAGTTAATCTAAAAATAATTGACCAATCATTGCGGCTTATTTACTAATGGAAAATCGGTTCATTGACGTGTATAACGGTGTACACGCAGATACCGTTTTAAAAAAAGGCCCACCGTGATGATATTCTTTCTTTTTCTATTATTTCCTACCTAGAGGTATGATAATAAGCGTATTTCAATACTTTCGATGCTCTCTTTCGAAGAAATACTAGGATAATTTCAATGCTTTTTAAACATTTTAGCGTAGCACACATGTATAGCTAAATGTGATAATGAAACGCATACAAGAGGTGATTTTTATTCGATTCAAGCACAATTGAATGGAAACTAAACTAACCAAAATAAATCAAAAAACAAGCAATGATTAATCTTGCAGCAAATGGAGGAACAAATTCAAAATTTTTATTTGTAATAACTTTGGAGGAATTTTTAAAAAAAATTAATAATTTCTTAATATTAAAAAAAAATATTAATATATAATAATATAATAATATATAATATAATTAATATATAATATATAATAATATATAATATATTATAGAATAATTAGTTGGTAATCTTTACTCCATTTTTTGGCGAATTTCTTAAATTTAGAGAATTTCCTAAATTTGTATTAAAATATTAAAAAAATATAAATTATATTTTATTAACATATATTATAAAACATAATTATTGTATTAATTAAAATTTTCTATAGTTTTATTGCACAATTTAATTTTATTATTATTATTAATATTTGTATTGTAATTTAATTTGTACAAGTTTTTTTTTCTAGATATATTTGAATTAATAATCCAAAAACTGATAAAAATAAATCTAATCCTTTCTTACTACAATATTTTAATTAATCATTATGACAACAATAGAAATGTAAAAAAATCAATAATAAGAATAAAATCTTTTCAGCATAAAATTCACAAGAAGTTTTTATAATCGTTTCAATGAAAACACAGCTTTATATTCAACATTGATGCAACTCAGATCGAAAATTTCCATAATAATTGCGATATTTTTCTAAAAATCAAATTTTTTTAAATAAATCTTTATCATAATTTACTTAATAAAAATTTTAAAGAAATTATTTTCAAGAGTTCAGAAGTAAATCATTACATGAGAAATGCAAACACTTCGATAAAATTCAACACTAAAGTAAGGATTATGTAACTAAATAATATATATATCAGAAAAGAATTCTGGCATTTTCCTTATCTAAAAAATTATTTATGTCAAACGAGCGATATCAAACGAGTATTGTTGTTAAAAATACTCGCCTTGTGTTGCAGAAAAAAAATTAAATCAACGAATTAAACGATAAGATATATCGAAAACAAGTAGTAGTAATTTTGTATTTATTCTGTAATACTATCGACGATATTGCGTATCGAATATTACTTCGTAGTAATTAAGATTTATACAATATGTAATGTATACGTAGTAAGTAATTAACACGTGTATGATATCAATCTATTGACTAGATTTACCGAAGGTAAACGTATTTCATGTAAATTTTCGTGTAAATTGTTGAAATGTTATCATAAAAAATTATTATTAAGTCTTTTTTTAAAACACGAAAAAATTTTGATACGATATTTTATATCATTGTAAGTATTATAAAATATTGATAAAATTATATCAAATTGTATATAATTTTATCTTTAGCTTTAAAATATCTTTTTAATTTATTCTAAATTTATTTTTAGTTTGTATTTATTTGTTGTATATTTATATATATATATTGTGTAATATTATAAAAAAAAATTTTGATTTTATTTAAAAAATTCAATATAATTTATAATTTTTAATTTTATTATAGAAAAGAAATGTCACTTAATAAATATAGATAGATTTTTGTTAATAATTTTTTTCTGAAATTCAAATATTTAAACAAATTATATGCATATTGTATTTTTCAAAATAGAAATGTTTTAAGAATCTCATTTGGAAAAAATTATAAAAATATATCCATATAAAATGTTTTTCAAATTATATTTATCAAATAATTTATCAAATAAAAATAATTTATATTTATTTATATATATTTATATAATTTATATATTCTATATCATTTATCAATTATAATGTATTATATGTATATATTTCATATTTTTAAAAATATAATAAACTATTACAAGAAATATAACTTGAAAAGTTTCGGTATACACGAAGTTTGATTAATTTGTATCATATTTTTAATATATACTTTATAAACGTTATATAAATATTAATAATGTATTATTAAAATATATGGACTTTTATATTGACGATTATAAACATTAAAAGATTATCATTAATAAAAAAAAAAAAAGAATAATATTGAACTTACCCATTGATGACGGAAGAGGATTCATCATTGTTCGATGGTCCCGACACCTGGACTTTGGGCACGTTGTAGATATCCACCTGTCCTTGACCATATCCATGTCCATGACTATGCTGTTGAGTATTCGTTGTCGAGTATTCATCGCTATCACTACTCTGCGGAGGTTCAGACCCTACTCCTCCACGAGGTCTGAAAAGAAATAATAGCTCCAAAATATTAAATTGAATTATCCATTATCATCTTAAACATTGTACATTAATGTCGATTTTTCTTCGAATTCCGTATTAAATATTCTATATAATATTAATATTATAATTTTTATATTGTACATGTTATATATGTATATATCTCCAGTAACGACTTATTCAATAACGAATTTGATGATAAACTCACGCAAATCCAATTTATCGATAATTTTAATCTGATTTAATAATTGATAATTCGCAGTGACTTTTCACATGATTATTATAATTTTTATTATTTACTAAACTTTTAAAAAATAATTCTTAAATTAATATTTCGATAAATTTTATTTTTAATTTTAAAAATTTTATTATAATTTTAAAAATATAGAATGATACAATAATCTTGTTTTCGATATTAGGAATAAAATATGATCTTATATTAGATACACTACAACAAAATAAAAAAAAAATAATTTATATACGTCAATGATTAAACTTAACCTTAAATATTTTATTTGTTTATTTTTTTAAAATAAACTAGACAAAGAATAAGAAATAAAAAAAAAAGAAAACTTTTTCTTACTTTTAATATAAAAGAATTTTAAAATAATAAAATATATTGACAAATCCATAAAGTTTAGAAATAAATTATATCGAAATATTATTATACAATTCAAAATTTAATAAATGACAGGATAAACGAATTTTGAAAGTCACACCTGCGATGAGTATTATCGTAGCTAGCAGTCCAGTAGAGGGGCGCCACTGTCCCACGTTACGACTACACTGTCACATACAAAAACTGACTAGAAATTAAATTTTTTCCCACGAATCGTCCTTTTAATTATTCGAAACTTCCTTTATGTTCGTTCCGGTCTTCATTGTACACAATATTGAGAACTTTGAATTTCCCATGGAAATATTTGAACCTGACAGCTCACTCGGTCAATACGGTCGCAGCATCATTTCACTCTAAAAAGCTCGGAAGATCAATGAAACTTTTATCAAATGTTAGAATATTTATTTTTTCGTAAATTCCTTATTCTCGATTATTTTTCTCTTGTATTTAAGAAACGATGATCAATAAATTTGATTCACTTTTGAAAGATTTTCTCTTCTAGTATGATGTACCGATTTCTTTTATCTCAACACAATTCGAATATTTAAAAAGCAAAATATCTTCAGTCTGTTCTTGATTGAGGAAAAAAATAGATAGTATGTTTCACAGAGATTTGCAGTCAAAATACGGCAATGCGGTGTGTTGAACGTGCTGCAGTCCGCGCTCGTGCTAGTAGACTTCTCGACGACACTTTTGTAGCGTATACCAATGGTACAACACCATTAGATGTGAACGCACACTCAGCTGTTTCGGCGCGTCTGCGCCAGTCTCGCCAGCTATTGACCGAATACCACGCTACCTAGTTGTATAGCTGTATAGCTGATTTGCTTTGCACATGTACACATAAATATATATGTAACTTATACAAAATCATTGGAATCGCATCACTTCACCCACTGATATCTCGGAAAAACGGCCGACAGAGGGATCGTGGGTATCGGTCAGCTGATCGCCAATGTTATTTCTTGGACTAACTCAATCTATTTTCATCTTTTTCTTTTCATCTTTTTGACACATGATAATTGTAATAGTACGGATGAAACAGAAGGATTCACGTGCACAATTTTGTACTGCTATATATTTACGATGAACATTTAATTGTCTTATGGGTTGACGAAATAAAAATAACTTCCTCATTAAGGAACTACTAGTACATTATTATATCACAGTAACTAATAATAACGTAACGAGAGAACTTTTAATTCCTATGCGAATCAAAATTTTTTAATTTATCACAAGTATGTCTGGAAATGTCAAAACTTTGCCATTCCTTCGTTGCTTTATGTTTATAATTTTTAAGATATATATATATATATATATCAATAAAAATATATATATATATATATTTTTTTTTTTCAATAATTCAAAATCATATATAGATTCAAAAAAGCCAAAATAAATGAATATTTATATCAAATTTATCAAATATAAACAAAAATAAAAATAACAATATTTTATTATATAAAAATAAGATATGATTTACTATTATTCTATATTCACATCTTATTCTAACAATAATCGTTTTCAAAAAAAATTTATGTCCACGCAATTCACATGAAAAGTTAATCTATAATAACACAACCTATGCATCACTCGATGATCAGCCTCCCTAAACAAAATGCGCAGTATTCCTAAGAGAGGGAACGCGGAAACAGATTACGTTTGATTACGGATATTGTTGACATGTACATATCCGGACCGATACACTGAATTGTTAAGAGTGTGGATTAAAGATATATAATGGATTAAAGAAACTTACGTGAGCATTGACACAACAGGACAACCAAGTTGAAGAAGATTTCGGGCAAGATATTCCGGCGCAGGTGCGTCAATCGTAGGTGTGGAATGCCTGGCGGGACAAACTGGTATGGTTTTGTCTGGTGTCCATGTCATGGACATCGATGATTTTCCATGATATGTCGATACATATAATCGATTGCGATCAATAGTATTTAAATTCGATGATTTGGGTAGCCTAAGAGAAGTAGCTCGTCGAAACGGTGGCTCTAGTTCGCTGTCTGAAAAAAAATTCTTGTGATCTATATTAAATATACTTTTAAATCAAATATTTAACTTATTAAAATTCATATTCATAATTAAAGAAGTAATTTAGATTATATTTTTTGTGTTTCAAAATCTGTTTTAATTAAAATTTTTAATTTACACAAAAGCATAAACAAATATATTATTATAAAAAATTATATATTTGTTTTATATATATATATATATATTATATTATATATATAATAATTATAAATTATAATTATAAATTTGTCAATTATTATACACATTAAATATCACTGATAGTACACGTGATGTTTATATAAAAGTTTCCTATTATTGCATTACATTAATAAAAATTGATAAACAATAGAAAATAACCTAAAACCATAAAAGGAAATAAATAGATAAGCATATGAATAATTAAATTAAATAAGGAACGTATAATTAAAAGATGTAACGAAATAAATTGAATATGTAAATAAATATACAAAAATATAATAAAACATACATATAAGTAAATAAAATAGAAAATAAAGAAAAATATCAAAAATATATAATTTTGTGAATTATATGTATTTACCAATGTAACACAAAGCACTATATATGTTTCTTTAGGTTATTAGGTTAAGCTTTAGGTTAGTTTCACAATCAACTACATGAATATAGGTAACATTCATTTTGATTAACTGTAAAATAAATTCAGTCATTATTTGAAATTAAAAATATAATAATTTAAAATTAAAGAAATTAAATTTCATAGTTTAAATTGAATTATTTGATATAATACCAAATATGTGAATATTATTTTTTATAAGATTTTTTTATTAATATTGTTTTTAATGATCTCATATATTTTTTTTACATAATATATATTTTTAAAACTGAAAAAGATATCATATTAACTATTTTTAAGAAAAAATGTATATATTTGATAAAAATATGAAAACATAAAAAGTGATTTTAATATTAAAAATGAAACAAGAAGAATCTCATTATTATAACATTTGTCTAAAAGAAAAAATTTATCTTCTAACATTTTTGTTAAAAGAAACAATAATAATATATAATAAATACAAATAAAAAATAGTATATACTATATAATTATTAAAAAATAATATAATAATATACAGCTATAAAAAAATATATAACTTGTTAATATAACCTCTAATGTTATAAGAAATATATATACACAAATTTATTAGAAAATAATTATTTATTTTTCGAAGTAAGAAAGACAAAATTGTCCAACTTTAGAGTTAAAAATAAATTTGACTACTATTAGAAATAAAGGTCATAAAATTACAAAGAATAATCCATTGCCAAATGACATCCAGGTATACATGATAGCCGATATTTATAAATACATTTAATATGTCATCAACGTGATATCCTTTTCATTTTTTTCACAAATATATTCAGTGTTTAGAAAATTGTAAACGTTTATCACCTGAGAAGCCTCGTGTCGACATTGTTATATGATGTACACATATCTATTTACAAGAAACATTAATGAAAGACGAACGTGAAAAGATAGCTCAATAAACGATAAAGAAGTAATTCACGAACGGAAGGTTCGTTGAATAAACGGCAACTGATGTTTAAGAAACACGTGTAGTGTTGTTAACAAAGACGCGATTCTTGCCTATTCTTGGCGACACAGCTTTAATTCGTTTAAAACCCTCTTGCATCACGTCAGCTTTAGCATTAATATACTATGTCTTCAGTTTCTCATAAGTTACGTGAGCGTATTATAGATATGCTCCTGTAATCAAATCAATGCCATCCGCTTTTGCATATTCGAGTTGGCTTACTTCGCATTCTATTAATTTGTAGAACTATTAGAACGAATTTTGACAATAAATGCTGAAATTTCTTAAATAAATTGCTTAAAAGTCAAAGAAGATAATATAAAAAATTTAACGATTTGTCGTATAAATATTTTTCATGACCAAAAAAAAATTATTTTAAAAAAATTTCAATCTAAAAAAAAAATTGTATTACAACATTTTCAATGAAATATTAAGAAAATTTTCTCACTTAAGTATACAAGGACGATTTCACTTTTTGGCAAAAGGCCGCGTATCCTTCTCAGGAATGCTGCATTTCTTTAAAAATATTTGTAATATATGTGAATCTTGGTTGATTCACAATTATTTCCGGAATTGCTCACAGGGAGTTCCATGATGATATAACAATATGAAATTCTCACAATTAAGAAATAATAATTTTTTAAATGAACACATCACTTATTTTTATAAAAAATTTTAAAAGATAATTGTAAAAGTTTTTTCATTAATTTGAAATTTTATTTTTTCTTTACAATTTTTAATATTTTTAAAATATTAAAAGAAACATAATAAATAAAATATATGATAGAAATAGATTATCAATCAATGTTTTGAAAAGTTTCACCATAAGTTTTAACAATGTATGATAAAAACCATATTTTCTTGATTATAAAATAAGCAAATGATTAACAATTTTAAGATTAGAAAATTGCAAATATTATAAAAGCTGGTAATGATAAATATCAAATATTTATAAAATACAATAAATACAAATATTTAAAATACTTTAATTATTATAATATTTTAATTTTTTCTCTTCATTTTTTATTTCTTAATATAAGATATCTATGCAATACTTATTAGATAGAACTTAACTTCTAAAAACAAAGTAGGATGATTAAATATTAAGGAATTTTTATATTACTGAATTCTGTAAATTTTTGTATCCGTTAATTAAATATATAAATATCAATATTAACAAAAAAACAATTTTACAAACCCCATGATGAAGAGATAAACAGGTCGCGAATTAAACAGATTTAACAATAGAAAAGAGCTCAGTACAAAAAATACCGATGGCAGATTCATGAGAATCGTGATAAACGTAATATTGTTAGTGCTCCAGACCGATAGTACGTTCAAGTTTCATTTTATCCATGTGCCAGTTAATTCGGTCTCAATTAGTATTAAGTGAGCGCATATGTGCACGTCCGTTCTTCATGGAGAAGGTCGTGAGTTCAGAGTTACATATTTCGTGACAAGGAAAACGTATGTACTTTATACGGAAATGATTTTTTTCATTAAATCGTATGGGAACATGAATCTGCGTTCGTCATTATACATTGAATAGAACAATAGAATAACGCATTCTTTTGCCAAGAAACTCGTGACAAAGATGATATTTGTTTATTTGAATTATAAAACGTAATGTAGTTCGCAATAATCATAATGAAATGCATTGCACGAAGGACTCTACACTTTGTTTGCGATGACTATGCCAAGATTAAATAGATCTAAAAATAAAATTTCATTCGGTATTATATTCAATTTAACATTTAAATCAATTCTCTTGGAGAGATAAACATGAAAATAAATTTATGCAACAACACATGAGTGTGCTAGAATACAAAAAAATTATGTATTGGAAAATTATTTCCTCTGCTTATTTCCAAAAACGTTATAAAAATTATTTTTATTTTATAAAGAATATATTTTTCTTTTGCATGATATCATATTTAAAAATGAACGTATCACAAATGAACAAATATATAAATATAAAAATAAATAAATGAATAATATTAATAGAAAAACTTCTTTAATATTAGATATTAATTTAATAAATTATATTAAGTATATATTTTATTATAAGTAAATAGTAAGTATTGTAAATTAATTGTTAAGTATTATATTTTTTTAAAATTTAATATTATTCATTATTTAATCCCTCTTTTGTTAATTTATAAAATCCAAATATTATTTTATTGATGTCATCTTATTATATAAGCAATGTAAGCTCATTATATGGACATATATAAAAATATAATATTATTATATATGCACAAATATAAAAAAGAATAATATTAAACATAAAGAATTTCTATTTATATATAAATTTTTTCGTGTAAAAAAATTTATTTCGCTTAATGTAAGCTTTGATGCATAAAGTAAACAAATAGTTCCTGTTTGTAAAATGTTATATGTAATATATATGTATATATAGTTGCATAGATGCCAATCATCATGGGGTTAAAGTTCGTTTAATAATAATGATACTATACTATATGAAACTTTTATCTGTACTATATTCACATCCGTACGGTGCAAAATATATTTGTATTTTCAAGAGAATGCGTCTAATTGTACAATGTCTGTAAAATGATAATAAGATAATGTGTATATTTTTAAAATATTATAGATAACATGTAATATCTGGAGAATTTCTGTAATGAAAACGATAATAAGAAATCATTTTAAAGAAACTAAAATTGCTAAATATAAATAAAATATCTATAAAATTATCCTATTATTATTTTCTTTTAAATTTTATCATGATTATAAAAATTTATTATTAAATATATTAATTTTTCATTCTACATTTAAACATAAAATAAATAACTGAATAATTATACAGTTATTTTTTTATATAATACAT